TTTTCCATTCCATCCAACACGTCTGGCCCACTCTCATCCACACCCGTGCTAGCACCAAAAGTGTCCTGATTTTCACCAGTCTCCTCTTCCCCACTTTCTCCGTCGCTTTCGCTGCCTTCCTCGTCCGCGTCTCCTTCAGCCGCTGCTTGCTGCGCCCTCTCAAGCCTTCGAGCAGCCTTTGCTGCCGCTAGTTCTTCGGCTTCCTGCTTCTTGCGCGCTACGTTCTCTGCTTGCTCGTCGCGGCGCTTGCGCTTGAGATTATCTCTCTTTTCCACCTTCGCTCGCTGCGCCTTGATCTGCGTGCGGGGAACGAACGATTCCAATACTTAGGACAAGGCGCAAACAACTACATCCGGCAAGAGAATCCGCTGAAAACACTGGTCGGGAACGATACAACTGCAGGAGAGATATTATCAGCTACCCTTCTGGCGTTATTGGGACGCATGTTCGAGCCTCGGCGCAGTCCAAAAACTGGGATAAAGGCCATACAACAATGCCGGGCGCGTGTATACAACGCCCGACCCACGATCAACGAGGGAAACAAATGGCTTGATCCTCCCACGAAAAAAACACCAAGTGAAGTACCTCAAAAGGAGGGAGAAAAGCAAACAAACTCCTGTGCGACCTTCTCCAGCGTGGCCCCCGGAGCAACCAGAAAACATATCGAAACATATCGAAATATATCGAATGGTGCTTCAAATGACGTCCAGAATGAATTGCATGACAACAGCGACCCAGAATGAATTGCTGCGACCCTAAACCACGTTCGAAGTCTTCCGTTGCCCTGATCCAGCTTACCTCTTCCGCAGTCTTGGTCACATAACTGTGGTACAGGACCTCTCCCTCGCATAGACCTCGCTCCACCTTCATGAGTTCAAGAGTAAGCCGCGGCCCGAGCTCCTGCAGGCGGATTGAACTGTACGATCCAATCGTCATTGCACAAAAACGGCGAATAGTTAGGGTCGCAGCACGAGCGTAACTAGGAACGATTGTATGCATCTCAAACTACCGCTGCATTGTACAGGCAACGAACGAGTGGTGCTCATAAATCCATCATGGTGTAACAGGTACTTGGTCTCGCCTTTTCTGCGACTTGACGTTTCCTCGACCGACGTAGTCATCCGGCAACGTGATCTTGGACTCCTCATCCTCAACCTCGCTATCTGATATTCCTCCTCCCATGCCTCCCGCGACATACTCGCTGATGTCCTCCAGACCGTGCAAGTCGGGTACCTTCGCCTGCACCACCTGCAAGAAAACCACACCGAACCCGCAGCATTTGTTAGAGCGTAGAAGCTCGCACATAACCAGGTTCCCTGCGGGAATCCCTGCATGAATCCGTACTCTGTGCGCACACCATTTCTTTTCCCTTGCGTTGCTGATGTGACCCAAGCGTTGTTCGACGAACAATCCTCATGTGTTAGGAGAACAGCACACGATTGTATGCCGAAAATAATACCACGTTGCAACACGGGCTACTGTGTATCCACCGAAGATACTCGAACAAGATCGTCGCTACGAATTCAATCGTACACACGCAAAGCTTCTTGCTACCTTCTTAATTGCCTTGGTGATGCCTGTTGGGGTGGCGCGAACAGCGAAGTGTCTCATTTCGACCGTGCCATTGGTCTTGTCGAGGTTAAACATAACCACTCGCCGGCAATCTTGCAACTTGACCGTCGCCACGTTGATCGATGGAAACATGTTCTGTAGAGTAACCTTCATCAGCTTTACTTGAGACGATGCCTGCTTGTCCCCGAAGTTGTTGAGCACGACCTGTCCGAGAACGTGCCGACAGCCAAGAAACAGAGTGGCAGGCAATCATCATATACAGCAGTAGACTATCGACTCCTCGGACCGAACTACAGCAGTATGTACTTCTCCTCTGTGACATTTATCCAATTGCATGTATCGTCCCTGATCCGGCTGAAATGACGGGAGTTACATCTGCAAACCCTAAAGCATGCTGTCCGATAGGTCTCTCTCTCCCGAACGTCGTAGGCGGAGAGTATCAATCTAGTCCATATGTTGTATCAATGCCTGCTGCCCGTGCACCTCGGCTTACCAGAGGAGATGTCTTGTACGCCTGGTTCACCTCCACCGGTCGCTTTTGCAGTGCTCGCACGTGCCGCATGAGGGAGAACTGCTGAACCTTGAACGTAAGGGTAGGTCCAGTTGGTGTTCGGCAAACGCGCAAGCTCAGGCTCTTGTCCGTCTGTGTGAACACTAGGAGGTGGGTAACGCCGAGCACACTGGACACCGACACGTAGTCCTTCACGGTGTTCTTGGCGCGCTCTCGCAGCTTGCGCGCTGTGTGCGGTTCCATGACCCTCCGCATCTCCTCTGCAAGGTCGGACACGTTGGAATGGACCTTGCCCTTCTTCAGGACGAAACTCTTCGGGACTTTCTCCGTCATTTCACTCTCAGGGGCCCCGACTGCTCCTGATGGAGGCCCAACGACATGCGTGCGGGTCTTTCTCTGCGAGATACCACGCAAATATAGACAGAAACCACGCACATATAGACAGGGAGGGAGGGTTGGCGTGGATCGTCACACAGCAGTAGAGTGGCGGTGGAACCTGCGCCTTACCTCATGTCTTCGCCCCTCTTTCTTCCTCTCTCCCTCCTATCCTCTGGTGCAGGTCTAACAATATTAAGGATGATCGCATAACTCACTCGTCGTCCTCCTTTGGTCGGCATTGTCGCACACGTGCCCTGTGTCGAGAGAAGACACCAGCACAGGGCAGAGGTCAGCAGGTAGTGGATGGCGATCAGCGATTGTCAGCGGCTCAGCGGCGAGTTTTCCGGGGGTTCCGTGGAGATACTTTTTTGAACCTCCGAGAAAAAAAAAAATGAAACGTCCGCCCGGAAGAGCCAAGCAGCCTGGCACATGTACGAATCTGTCGGGAGAGATACGCAAGAGATTGGTGTAATGTGAGATGAGCGAGAGAGGAGGAGTAGAAACGCGAGCATTATGGCGATGCCTGTGAGATCCGCTCGAACCACAGAGTTTGGCGAGAAGGCTCCCACGCCGGTGACAATCGGGCCTGGGTCGTATCTAGGTCCGTCGGAACCGACCAAAACACGGCCCTCTTTGGCGGCGTTCGCGTCCTCCCAGCACCGCAGCTGGCAGGGAAAATCATCCACACCCGTTGGGCCGGGGCCTGGTTCGTACGGTGGATCGATTCCGGCGGCATTGACAGAGAACGATATCCGCCCGAGCTATTGCTTCGAATCCAGAGCCCCTCGACTGGCTCCCCAGTACCCAGGTTCGACCATTTTCGGTCGTTCGACGGTGGTCCAAGTACCTGGGCCCGGGACTTACGAGACGGATGGGGCGCCGGGGCAGCATGGCCACCGAGAACTCAAGTGGAGTGGACCTCGGTCAAAGACCGTACCTGGCGTAGCGAAGCGATTCAACCCGCCTTCGGTTCCTCGGTGAGCGCGTAGGTACATCATGATCAAGTGAGGTCGACACTGCGTCGTCTGCTGAGCGTAAAGAATCGAAGAATGCAACCTGCCATATACAGCGCACCTCAGCTTACTGATTCGACGGGAAAACTACTACTGTCGCAGCAGCAGCAGCAGCAGCAGCAACAACAACAACAACAACGACAACAAAGGGGGATTTGCGTTTGTCGCGCCTGGGGAAAAAAGCAACAAAAAATGTCCCGACTCTTTCCCCTCGTCATAAACAAACTTGGGACGATACTACAGTACTCGTCGTACTGCATGTACGCACGGGTGTCCTGTCCTGGTGCTCGCTGCGTATTCAGGATCGCATGCTGCAGCCCTGCATAGTTCCACAGCACCCTCTCTGAATTAATCCTCGTGGCGCCCCTGGTCCACGAAGTGTGTGTGTGTGTCTTACTACATACGTAGCATCGACCCCGGTAACCGGTGACCAATGGACAGATGTCAGTCTCAGTGTGGTTGAAAACACAAAACACTTGTAAATGCCATGAACCAGGACCCCGTGAGGGGGCGTCATGGGGGAGACTATTCTCCGGATTCAAGACTGAAACGGCCAACAGTAGAACACTGCACGTGTCTACCAAGGCTGCTTGCTACCTTGCACTCGAGTTCGTTTTGGAGTGCTTTGCCCATCCTCTTCCTTGCTCTCACCACCATCACTCTCATCACCTACAGTAGTTTGTTTGCGGCAGTTCTTCTCTAGCCCTGTTTCATTTGTTGCGAGGAAGATCATCTAGCTCCTTTGCTGTCTTCCACTCCGTGCTTTCCTCCTCCATTGCTGTTTTGGTTGTTTCCTCGTCCACCCGTTTCCTTTCCTCCTCCTTCGTCGCTACCAAATGAATCCCCCTCATTGCCACCTTCATCGTCTTTGTCCGCACTAAATACTATCCCAACTTACTGCCTTGGTGGAATTTGGTCAACCAGTAAGTAGGGTGTGTGTTCGTCCCGTCTATTCTGGCGCCGGTGTACAGGCCTTTCGGCGTATATACTTGACATATCAGCCGGCGTCACACAAGAGGAAGGTCATACAGGAGCTTTTTCATAGTATTTGTTTGTTTTATTGCCTCACCGTTCCCCCTGCGGTGCTTGCCTTGATCTTTATCGGTCCACGAAGTAGTTCAAACAAGCCGCGGTCGCAAGTTCTTGCCATCATGAGCGACGGAAGAAGCAGCCATCATCCAAGCAAAGGCCATGGCGCCGCTCGAGACATCGGTTCCTTGTTTTTGACGTGTTTGTGGTACATATATACTGCGGTTAGTATGCACAAGATTCCCCCTTCGATCGCAGAATAATTCCTACGGCAAGAACAGCAAAATTTGTGTCCTTACGAGCACCAACCACACAACAACCACAGCAGCAGCAGTAGAGCGAGAGTGCAGTCCCACGCTGCGATCATACTGTGCGTTGGCGCCAGTGTGTGGCCGCAGTTCGTTAGGGATGTTGCTGCTGTGCTTCTGGCAAATACGAACTGGAACAGCAGCGTGCTCTTGCGCCCCAGCTCTGCTCTCGTGCCACATGTCTCTCATGCTACATGTCTCCCAACAACGGTTGTTGTGAGGTTACATTCGTACAGCACATACGTAGAATGCCAGTCCCTGAAGGCCATGATGAAGATTGAACAGCATTGCTGTTGCCTTGCTTAACTGACCCCTTGATATTCTACCCCAAGGATTTTAACCTACCAATGTTAGTCTTTCCTAATAACTACCGTTCAGATCCGTGTACTCAAATGCCATACACGGGGGTGTACTACGTGCTGCGTCCGCTTCAAACAGTTTCTCATGTGTCGTCGGCCTACGCCCACTTTGTGAGGACATTTGACCAATAGTTGCATCGCAACTGGATGCATTCAAAAACGTTTCCATCGATGGATGGAAACGCCAGAGTCAACACGCAAAGACCCGTCTCTCCGAAAAATGAATAAACGACGAAACACACATCTAAAAGATGGAAGTGCAGAAGGCATTCTTTTGCCTACCCTGGATCACATATACCACCCTCGGGTTTGCTATCCCCGCCAAAAAGCGAATCCCTGACCCTCTGTTGTCGGTGAAAAGGGTTTGATCTACCGTCGCGGGACGCTCGGGAGAAGCACGGGAGGGTGTCATTAAATAGCCTCGTTTCGAATGATGCAAGTATCCGCCCAAGACCTTTTCTGCGCAAAATGACAGCACGTACAGATCGGGTGGTTGCCAGTTGGGCGAGACCCCCAAAAGTGATTGCGACGGTAGACCTACAAGAACGTCGTCATCGTGTCTGATCAGATCATGCTACTCTTGATATACACGAGATATCTTTATTTACTGCCGGGACAAACCGTACGAGTATAGTCTCGCACGATGCCGCAAAGAACAAGGACCTCAAGGTTGTCCCCAGAGCTTTTTCTCGTCGATAGAGAATTGTGCCCGCCTCACCGTCAGGGTAGGGATATGTGGGAGGCATGAACACTACGTACCAACATCATGACCCGGCATGGTTTGCCTACCTCTCCGCAACTATTTGCGCGATTATTATTGTGCCCCCTGGCAGGAGAGAGCAGAGTTTTGGCTACAACGTGGACCCCCACGGCAAGCTTTTGGCGTTGCCAGCACCCTCTTCAACGCGCACAGGGCTCCTCAAGGACTCCGCTGGCCCTGGTGACTACGATACTCAGGACAACAGTTGGTGGGCAGGGGTTGGCGCAGCGAAATTCTCGAAAGGGGCGCGGAAGACTATTTTCGACGGAGACTGTGCGGCGAAGGATCGACGACCGGTACGTCGGAGATTCTGTTGTAGGCGCGTGAGGAAGGATATTTTTGTTCAACACGTCTCGCCGGAGGAATTGTAGCGTGACATACCTGACGCGTATAATCCACGTGTACTCAGGGCCCAGGTGACTACAACCCCAAACTGGAGCCGCGCTACCACCTGGATATGCCGGGCTCCGCTCCATTCATGTCGGGAGTTCCTAAGGGTGACAATCGTCTCCATGGTGGTCCTGGTCCAGGACAATACGTTTACTCCACCCCATTGGGTGTGAACATTTCGGCGGGCAATGTCCCGAACTTTAACAGCTGTGCAAAGCGTGGAGCCTGGCTCCGAAGTGATCAGGTGATACGAAAGTGCATCTCAGAAGACGGTGTCGATAATACCTTCGTATTTGGAAGGATGCTCTCGGAAGGTCTGGCTCTTGACTTGGTATTATTGGCAGACGCGGGACAATGCAGCTAGTTGTGGTTCATGCGGTTTCGTTATCTTGCTGACTCCGGCACAAACTCGTGCGCTTGTCGTGGGGATGATGAAGTGTCCATACAGTGAGCCCGAGACTGGAAGCTTTCCAGGACCTGGTGCTTACGGCAGCTTGGAGGACAACTCGAGCTTCAACAAAACGGCCCCGAAAACGTTGACGGACGAAAAGATAGGATTTAGTTCGACGGGAAGGAGAACAACCGCGGGGTCGCATTCAGCGGAAATACCCGGCCCAGGTCAATACGACCTTGACCTGCAATCCATCGCGGGAGGGCTTAAATATAAAAGCCGAATTGGATGCAAAGGTGTTTTCGGGTGAGCGCATCTCTGCAGGAATATCAATAGAAGTAAAGTAGACGATGGGTAATCCCCGGCTAAATCGTGGATAATTGAGCGGTCAGACCAATTTCAAGCTGTGCGAAGAAGACACGACGGAAAATCTCTTATTTTGTTCCTCCTCTAGCCTACTCTAACACCTGCACTTTTGCTCTTGGTGTCTCCGTACCGTGCAGAAGCAGCGGTGACCGGTTCCGAATACGGAATCAGACCGATGAGAACGTCCACAAGACGCCGATGCAACTTTGGGATCAAGGGAAAATACTTAAAAGGGTAGTGGTGCTACGGCCCGCGCCAAAGTCGTCCAGCAGTTTTAGGTCAGAAACGAGCCGTTTCAACTCGCACTCTGCTCCAGGTGCGTTCGCAGGTCATTCGTTCATTATGCCGCAAACTTTGAAGGCTTGGACATGCCGTCAATCGATCGATCTCAAGAATCTAATCGTCGTTTACTTGTCCCCACTTTGCTTGCTTCCACCTCTCCGAATATGGTCTACCCCGGAAGAAGAAACGAACGATCCCAACGTACTTGAATTGGCCCGCCGCCGCCCCCCGTGCAGATGCGCGCATGAACCCGCCAGCTACGCAGTACGTGAGGAAAGATTCATTTGACGATATTGTGGAACGAGGCACGAAGTCGAAATCGAAGCCTTTCTTGTCCACAACCGATCGACGAGACGGCGGGGCGTTCGAGGTGAAGGGTACCCAGGGTATTCCAGGACCAGGCGCGTACAACCTCGCCGCTCCTAGGACAGCGGTCCCCCCGCCTCGGAGTCGAGCGCAGACAGGACCCAGGCTTCCGCAAGGCGCAAGATTTAGGCACATGGTCTCGCGAAATGATGTCGGGCCAGGGAGCCATGAAATATCCGGGAGCCTCATCAAGAAAACTTTCAATATCACTTTCGGCGGGGCGTACACTCCAGCTGGGGCAGGTCGCTTGGTACATCGTGCATCCTTCGCTCGAAAAACTCATGACGCTAGGAAGCTCTCGGATGCCGTGCCGCTCCAACCCGCGCCAGAAACCTTGGGCGTCAAAGAAAACCTTGCGTCACCGCAGACAGGTTTCGGTGGACGCGACTCACACATACAGTAGATACCCTCTTTGATTCATTCGTTACTGTGCATGTCCTACTGTTATTATTGTTGATACGTGTAGTTGTTACCACCTCGCTTATGTATGCGATGCGTGTGTTCCACTTCGTTGAAGTCGACTCCTCTCAAGGTTGTACCTATGACCGTATCCCAAGGGCGGTTTGACATAGACTGTAGTGTAGAACTTGCGCAAAATAAGCTCCACACCTTCGTTGTTTGTTTTTGGTGTTCGTGCTTTCGCTTCGAAGAAGAAAGACGCCATTCGGCTGTATACAAGATTGTGCTATTGTACAGTAAGCAAAACACTCTTTGCCCGAGGCAAGCTGCGATAATCTGTGCAGTATGTATGTAGACTATGTCTCCAACACCAATCCCGGAACAAGGCAAAAGAAAACTCTCGAAGATCTCTCGAAGGATCAAAGTACCGTGGCCATGCATCAACTGAACACGCTACAAGCAAGCTTGAACATCGTATCGCAGCAGAGAAGGTGCTCAAGGACAAGTGAGGCAGGTGTCCGCATGAAAGTATTATCTTCCCCTCCCTCTGCCTCTACCTCTACCTCCCTTGAAACCAAGCATCCTGGCAAGTTTCTTCTCTTGCTCGCGCTTCGCACGCTCTTTGGCCAGCCTCTTCTGTACAGTCTGAGTTAGAGAGTCGATTCACACCGTACGTTCAGCACACAAACGAGACGCGGGATTATGGGAAGGGAGGGTATTGTTCAGATAGATGCATGTACAGCAATAGTATTTTCATTTTTCTTGCTATAGGATGAAGGGGGCATTAAATCATCAGGGCGGATAAATTGTACCAACGGGGAAACTCCGCTGTACACTCACGAAAACAGAGCGCACTGCCTACAAGCAAATCCGTGCCGTGCCCGTTTCAGTGCAGAATGCACATGATGACCACGCCCCCAAAACGTGGTATCATACGTATGTACCTGCAAGAACCAACTACTACTACTGTATGCACGCAAACAAACAAGCTATTGCTGCTGCTGTAAACTGGATAGGGCAGAAAAAAATAGCCGCAGCTCATGCATACCACTGCGGCGGTAGGGGGCAGGCAGAATGGTTACGATCAACACTTCAATAACTGGCATCCAATACAGAGCTAAACAAACAAGGTGAGTTAGCGATGCGGCAGCACTACCCAGACTGGATAGTATCCAGTGAGCTGGACCGACAGACAGCAGCAGCAGTGGCATGTGGCATGAGATCGCACCGCTCCTTGATTGACCCCGACGCTGCTGAGAATTGTGTTCGATAAGCGGACTCCAACCAACATGATATATATCTAGACTGTGCGTGTGGCTCACTACTACTGCTGAAGTTGCGTGTGGACGTGTGGACCAGGGTGCACTGCAGCAAATGCTGGGGTAAATAAACAAGAAGACGAACAGCACTGGTTTCTACGCGTCCGTTTCACGAGAGACCCGTTGAAACCGATCGTGAAATTTCAGCAGAACGAAGAGAAAAGTCCGAAGGGGCAAAGGGACGAACGGTTCGCACCCGCGGAGATGCTGAGCAGCACTCACTCGTTCAAATCCAAAGCAATGTGGCAATCCGGTCGCCCCGGTGGTCTAGTTGGTATCCTCGGCACCTTCTAGAGGTCAGGTTAGGGGTTTGAATCCCGGCGTAAGCGAGCTTTTCTTGCAAAGTGAGTTTTTCTCTCGCTTCCGCTCCTGGTCTAGTGGATAGCGCTAGTTCGTGTGTACACAGAGGGAAGAGAGTGCTGAACTCTTCTCGCATTAAAAATCGAAGGCAAAGCACCGCAGGAGTGGAGGATAGAGAGGGGCTCTTTTAACGGCACTAGTGCTGTGAGCGCTGATTTGAAGTGAAGATTGAAAAAAAAAAAATGTGGCACCGCGCATCCGACGAAGAAATAAGTGCAGAATAAAAATATGAAACTAAGGACAATCCCTGAGGTAAGACGGCGGTGCAACCGTAAGACGACGGAGCAGCCGTAAGACGACGGTGCAGCCGTAAATAATTCGGAACAAATAGAAACTTCCCCCGAGTCAGGAACAAGATAAAAACATCTCACTTCCGCGCCTCTTCCGCCAAAAACGAAGATGACGAGCAGCCGCAATGCCTAAAATGCCAAGCACGCTCCGCTACATAAATTACATGCATTTTATTAGGAACTATAATATGTATGGAAGGGAAACACGCCTCTGTGCTGCCGTGTTGCCGCTGCCGCATTTGATTGTGCGGTTTTTCCCAAAACAAATACGCACCCAAACTACCATTGGTGTGGGCATTATATACCGAGAGAATACAGCAGCAGTAGTCTACAAGTGAAGAGCTTCGTCTATGAGCACGCTGCAACTAGTCACTGCTGTCTGTTTTATGTCGTCTTGGGGTCCGATCAGCCACGCAAAACAAAACACACCAGCAGAGGGCGCGTGCTTAGATTCAGCAACAAACACGACACGAAGCACCCCCGGGGACAAATAAATCGAAACGCCCAAAAATAACAGGCACAAACAAACTACTTGCTCATGTTGAAAAGGTGCAGCAAAGGCAGCAGTTGGTTAGCTACGGGAGGTAGCTGCTGCATAGCTTGACACCTCTGCGCCAGCGTCAAGAGCTAGAGCAGTACACCAGCTTGATGTATACTCCACGACAAGAGGGGCAAGGCGGAGACCCAACTTTTCTGAGCGGATGTTCTATTTTGCGCCGCAACTACACGTACTGTTACCTTATGATATTATCAGGAAGAGGTAGGTGCGCTTCACAACTCTTGTAGATGTAGTACAGCAGTAGTGTGGATAGCAGCACGCTCTGCGATATTGCTCCGTTATACATTACAATCAGTGCCAAAAAACGTCATACGATTGATTGGGTCCGTTTTGTTCAAAACAGCGGCAAGCATGGACAACCTGCATCATGTATACAACGGGTTGATTCCATCCACGTATAGTATGTATGTACACGCCTTGTGCGCTGCACGAATTGGCTGCAACATGTAATTTTAATACCGTCAGAACAACACATGAGACATGTTGATTGATTAAGCTGACGCGAACGATAGATAGCCAAAACGACCTGGAACCCGAGCGAGTGGCGATACTGCCGTCCCGTGCGAGAAAAAAAGAGCAAGACACCTTTAGCCAATACAAGGCGGATTGACTTCAGCTGCACGGACGGGAAAAAGCTTGTGGCAAAATGTTTTGCTAACCACGACCCTTGCGGCCGTCTCCGTCGAAGAGAGGATAGTCTATACAAGATCAGAGGGCTCTCACCGATTTCACGGCTGCTGTTTCCATCACGCCTTGTTGGAAACATAATTGTGCAATCCCGTTGACCCCCCACACACTGCTCGTCACTGCTGTCACGCTCTCACCTACACTCTCGATCAGCATGCACAAACGATGTACAAAAATCCGAACAGTTTTCGCAAGAAATAAACGTCTCCACCCGAAGATCTTTCAAGTCGCAAGAAACTGCAGCAATCAACGCAATCATGACGAAGACAAACGCCAACAAGTGCTTCCTTCACTGCGAAGCCTTCACGCAGTGGTGCAGAAACCGCGCAGGTGCAATAGAGAGTCGGGGTTCAGTTTGAATATTGGATCATGTAAAGGACCGTCAGATACATTTATGGCAAAGGTTGGAACTGGTAAGATCCGCGCCCGGTCTGCCTAGCTACCTAGATGTAGCGAGTACTCGTAAAGCTCAGGTTGGGGACAATCCTTCTCGAACATGAGAGTTGCGAAAACGAGCAAGAACTTAGGTAACGGCCATGTGTAACGGACACAAACGCGCACCTTCAATAAGTGACGTCTCAACCACCTGCCAAAGGCAGCTTTCCGTAATCTTGCGTTCAACTTTAGCACATACATCCAGTTATCACCCTCCTCCAGCAGGGCCCATAGACAAATATCGCTACACGTGCGTCCATCACACGTTCTCGCGCCCCACCATACCTCCATCGAACGCTTTGCACGTTGTCGAGCGTAGCAGCATTCCCCATCCTGTCTCTCCTACGGGTTGGTGTAGCAGGCAGGTGCACGAATTGGGGGCACCGCAGGAGAGTTTCGCACCCAACCACCAGCAAGTCGCAAACTGACCCCGTATGTCGTCCCTTGACCCACAATGTATGTGATATGCATATGTACGTTCGTATGCATGTTAGTTTTACAAATACCGTGCGAAATAAAGTACATGTATGTGATATCCTGGCGGATACAACACCCAACAAACGCCGGCTAAAAAACGGTTATTAATTGTGGAACAAAGATCCAAATATGGTCCCAATGTATTTTCACCAGGTGGGGTGCTTTGCCCAAACAAGAGCGAAATTGCGTTCGTTGCACCGTTTCATTGTGTAGGCAGCAGTATGTGCTGCATTGAGATTGTATTGCTGCTGCTGGAAAGTTTTGAGAACCGGGGAAGTATATGGTTCCACACATGAGGTGGTTAATTCTACGGGAAGAAGACGGAGGGAAGAAGACGGAGAGAAGAAGACGGAGGAAAAACATGCAAGACGGCTCACGGAGGAACAATCTCCCAGACAACAACTACCACACGATAAATATGCGTACGTCACAAATAAAATCCGTCCGGCAGCTTTTGCTTGCCGTGGTGACACGAAAAACTCCGCATATATGCATTAAGGAATAATAAACACACACACAGAAAGACTACCCATTCGAGATATACCCACAGTCGAACGGGATGTGGTGGAGTCTTTTCAGTGAGTGGAGGGAACCTATGCATACTATTGCGTCTTGTGCCGTGCCAATTCACCGAGCTCGGCATTTTACAAAGTCACAAACCGCCTCTACTGTAGCTGTTTTGATTTCGTGTCTCGAGCCCGCTACCCGGCATGACATATGGTGTACGAAATACCGGCTCAAGGCAGCACAAACGTTGTAGGCGTTGTGTTGTTTCACAGCAGTTATGTGGGAAATTCTGACTTGCGAGACAAATGACAAGTCTCCCCAGTTGTGTACCTCGCTGGGCACACAGATCACATGTAGGCTGCTTCCCATCATTCTTTTGGCCGTGGTCGTACCTCGTGCACAAGAACATGCATGATGAGACCACCGATCTCGAACGGTATGCATGCATGTTTTTGAGGAAATCACTCATGGGGCTGAGTGTGTAAGGGTCGTAAGGTCGTCTCCCAAACATAGCCATCGATGCACGCACGTCTTCATATATGGTAAAAAATATGCCACTGCATCCATCCAGGGCTGTCGCCTGCGCGATAGAGTCTCTGGTCAATCCACCCTCTGACGATGGTTGAGTTGCAACCAGCTTCGTCAGACAAACAAACACCCAATACATCTGGCAGCGGATTGTTCGCGCACCCCCTCCCGTCCCGCTGCGCCGGTGTATTCTTGAGGGGGACAAATCAACCCGAATGCGACAACATGCCAAAACTGCTACCGCATCGCAAGGGACGATGATGCATGACGCCTCCCAAAAAATGCGTCCGACGGCCCACTCTGAGGTGACTCACACACCGCTGCATACACAGCAAAAGTGCGACGGCGGTGGTCAACAACAACAGGGCCGGCGAGAATGTGTTGTCGTACCCGAGGTCTTGTTGTGATGTTGTGAGCATTCCAGCACGTTTCGAAGCCACCGCTCGG